CTATGTTATTGCTATGTCCATGGTTCTGTGTATTGTTTCCTATGTTATCGCTATGTCCACGCCTATGTGTATTGTTTCCTATGTGATCACTCTGTCCACTGCTCTGTGTATTGTTTCCTATGTTATCACTATGTCCACGGCTCTGTGTATTGTTTCCTATGCTATCTCTATGTCCACGGCTGTCTGCATTGTTTCCTATGCTATCTCTATGTCCACGGCTGTCTGCATTGTTTCCTATGTTATTGCTATGTCCAACGGCTCTGTGTATTGTTTCCTATGTGATCACTCTGTCCACGGCTCTCTGTATTGTTTGCTACGTTATCGCTATGTCCACGGCTCCCTGTATTGTTTGCAATGTTATCACTATGTCCACGGCTCTCTGTATTGTTTGCGATGTTATCACTATGTCCACTGCCCTCAGTATTGTTTCCTATGTTATCACTATGTCCACTGCTCTGTGTATTGTTTCCTATGTTATCACTATGTCCACGGCTCTGTGTATTGTTTCCTATGCTGTCTCTATGTCCACGGCTGTCTGCATTGTTTCCTATGCTGTCTCTATGTCCACGGCTGTCTGCATTGTTTCCTATGCTATCTCTATGTCCACGGCTGTCTGCATTGTTTCCTATGTTATTGCTTTGTCCCGTCTGTCTGTACGGAACTTGGTGTTACCACAGTGTCAGCAATAGGACATGGAACCGTTTCCAAACGTGAGGTATTGCCGCCATGGTTGTGGTCGTGAAAGGTCAACAATGATTCGGGATGACCGTTACCTCCACACTCAATCTCTCTGACAGAGAACAGAATTGCTTCATAGCTGAGATTTGGCTCTTCACTACCCGCAGTGTCAACATTTGAACACAAACAGTTCCAAGACGACAGCATGGTTTACGTGTAAGACGACCTTGTGTTCGAATCCCTTTAACCCCTGCCCACCAGTGGGCCGCTAACCATGTGAATTGAACTGCACCAGACTGGAGACCAGAATTTAGCAAGATGAAGCATATGTAAACATTGTTGACCATTGCAGACACTGAAGTTGCTCAAGTATGGTAAGGGGTGAACCAGCTGGGACGGTAAAACCGACCTGCATGTTCCTGCAAATGACACCTTGACCGGGATTCGCTACAGAGATGAGATTCTGGATGTCCTCTTTAGAGCCTTCGCGGGAGCTATTTCGGGGATAACTTCATCGGTTCCCTATTAATGTCCACGATCGTCCATATCATGCAAAGGCCGTGGAAAAGTATATGAAAATATAAACCCCCAAAAGTATGGTATGGCCCTAATCTCCATCCCATAGAACACATAGGGAACCTGCTGCAACAAGCAACCAAGCACCAAAGCAAGTGGATCAACCAAGCACCAAAGCACCAAAGCAAGTGGGTCAACCAAGCACCAAACCCAGACTCTAGCAGGATTTTAACCGTCTCCCACAGCAACAGTGTTGGCAGCATGAAAAGGCGGTGTCAAACTGTAGTGAGTGAGTGAGTTTAGTGTTTTACGCTGCACTAAGCAATATCCCAGCTATATGGCGGCGGTCTGTAAATAATCGAGTCAGTACTAGACAATCCAGTGATCAACAGCATGAGCATCTACCTACACAACTGAGATACGATGATATGTGTCAGCCAAGTCAGCGAGTCTGACGGTCTGACCTCATATCGCCTACACCTCATTTCGCCTATACCCTTCTCAAAACAAAAGCTAGGGCTGACTGCACATCACGTAAATACTGTTATACCATTAGAAAAGTCTTCCACTAATGAAAATAAACCCTTACACTGATGATTTATACTTTAATAAGGTCATACATACAACAAGTTAAAATACCAATATCAATACCCATTATTATGATAGGGATGGTAGAACTGGCCATTATAATTATTGTAGGCAATATGAGGTGTTGGCGAAATGAGGGGTAGGCGATATGAGGGCAAGCCAATTCCGTTTGTCGCCTCTTAAGACAAGTTTGGGTTACCGAAGATCAATTCTAACCAGAATCTTCACGGGTCCATACTGTAGTGCGTGTTTGGGGGTCACACCTACTGAACAGATAATTGTGACTTTGACAACTGTTGTGTCACCACCTGTATGTCCAGGTTTGGCCCTGCATGGCCACGAGAGGTGTTAATGCAAGCCACTTTCTCACAAAGGGCGAATCGAGATATATGTGACACTCGTGTGACGTCATATTACTTATGGTATAAGTGTTTTTTTTTTAAAGTTCTGTGATCCTTAGCAAATGTTGAACAGTATATATATCAGACATTCACGATCATTTCTTGAGTAGTGGAATTTCGTTTAAAGAATGTGAAACATTTTTATAGTAATCCCAATAATGGCTGTCACAGATTGATTTAGATTTCAGAACTGTTTGTTTACCTAGTTCCAACTAATGATAGATGTGTTATTGCATAGATGCTCATGCTTTCGGCCATTGGTTTGCCTGGCTCATACTCGATACTTTACCCATTGCCTTTGTGTAGCTTGGCAACTGCGGCAACCAATACCAACATACTCTCACTCAGGCTGATATAAGTTTAGCCAGATCAGGCAGCATGGAGACCTGTGTGATTAAGTCTGTATTTTGTTATAACCACCAGTTCCCGTCGTCCTGTCACTGTTCCCAGCTATGCATTATCCATAATTTTATACATGAAATAACAAATCAAAATAACACACAATCGATTTTACACACCAAAATACAGTTTAAATGCCTTTACTGATCTTCTTCTCAAGTACATGTATGGCAACAGGAGATAGTTTAAGTTTTTAAAAGTTCATGGGAAATGTGGGAAAGATAAAAATACTGATAAACGCTTTTTACACATTTTTCTTTCCGTTTATAGATCTCCTCAGGTTTTTATGATATTTACAACCCTAGTTCTGTTGTGGATTTTAAAGTCATAAACACCTAAAATTAAGTGTTTTATCCTACGTCAGAACAGAACTGTTGTTTGAAGGACAAGCCAGTTATATTTTAGCAAAAGGGTATTTGAGAACAGCGCTGCCATGTCACACAACATGCATTGTAGTTACCTTATATACATCATATACCTTTTATGTTACAAACTATACATATTCCTGCAAAGATTCCAAGCTTCATAAATTCCGAAAGTAAATCAAACATTAACACATTTTTCAGACAATGGGCCAAGCTTTGTGCAAACAAATACACGAACCAGTACCTCCAGCAGTTGTAACACAGTTCGAGGCTGGCGTACAGTACATTGATGATCTCATGACCATAATAGAATCTGGATCAAAGGACGTTAAGGGTGCGGCAAATAATGCCTATGAGGCATTTTCCGGTGTTGAACGAAAACTTACTGAGCACATACAAACTTTGACTGAAAAGTGTCTCGGCAAGGAAGCAGAGCTTTCACAGAAGCAAGCCTATCACCAGCAACTTCTGGTGTCTTTAGCATCCTTGAATGCATCACTTGCTGAAAAGAGAAGACACCTGCAGGACCAGGCTCGAAGGGTTTCCAGTGCCGAAGAGGACGTGCAAAGTGCAGAGCAAAGAGTTCAACGAGCAAGGGAAGAGTTCGAAAGAGCTGAAAAGCATCGCAATGCCGTACGAACAGCAGGTTGGGCGACCATATGGATCCCAATAGTTGGGAGCAACAATGCTGGCCGTTTCTGAGACGGCTCTTACAAATGATGTGGAGAATGCCGAACACTGCCTGAATTCAGTTCGATCGACACTGTCTAGCGCAAGGGACACTTTGTCAGAGATGTCAAATAACTGTCAACAAACTGAACATGAATTACAAAGAAAAACAGATGAAAAAGCGAGTGTCATTGCTGAGATTAGTAACACAGAGCTCTACATTCAAGCCACCAGGAATTACATTACAGAACAAAACTCCAGTCTGGTCAACATGCGGAAGGTTATTCACAAGCTCGGCCTAGTTGCCGGACGAGCCGAGATCTTAAGGGATGAGACCAAATTAATGTATGAGATAGCACAGATTGGAGAACCTTTGAAGAGCCTGGTTGACAGTCTACAGAAAACAGGGGTCACAAGGTCTGATTTGTGGAATAAGGTTCTCTCACGCCCTGCTTTCAAGGCTATCGGAGCTGCAGAAGGAGACGAGTGGTGACGTGTGGGCATTCTGACATAGTCAACTGCAAAATACAATGAATTGACCGCCCAAAGATCTTCCTACTATCATTGTTGGACTGTTCATATATTTTGTGAGAAGGACCCTTAAGTCACGTTTTGTTAGGTTAATTCGTTGTATAGTCTCAAACTGAATATATATCTTTGCTTCCACGACCTGTCTTCTTGTTAACTTAGTAATTTGTAAAAACGCAATTATAAAGTTGTTGTTTTGTGTTGCTTTCATTTCAATAAAACTATTTATATATTTTTGAGTTTTACGTATGGGGTACGTACAGCGTGTTGGAGATGATGCATCTGTCAAGGCAGTCGTCCAACAAAACACCACAGTTAGGCAGTTTGTGGTGGTGGAACGAATCTATAAATACTTTTCAACAAAAATTCAGTTTTCAATAACAGGCAAAGGTGTTCTGTTTGAAAGTCATTTCACTCAAGTTGTTGAAGTACAGGGTAAAAGTACAGATCCTTGATTCGGCAGCTTATGGTGAAAGTAGAGAGTGAATATATATCTTTGTCGAAAGAATATAGTCTGCACAAACGTAAGATTGCCTTCAACGGCATATTCAGCTCATGAACATATTGAATTGATTACAGGTTGCACTCACATATTTTATGTGTGTGCGCGTGCGTGTGCGTGTGTATACTTCTGTCTATAAATTTATATGTTTCCTATGTAAGCCACAGTTTCATGATTGCTTTATGGCTGCACTATTCCAGCTACATGTTCATGGTCAACAGATTTGTACTTGGCCAGACAAGCAAATGAGTGACGTTTATCTGTGAATCTATAACTCACATATAATAATCTATTAACTGAACAATATTCCATCTGATAACTAAATTCTATCTGTAACACATGTTCCAGAACATTCGTATTACCACATCATGGCGGATGTCAGCAGACAGGACATTGCAAAGGCCGAGAAAAGAGTGATGAGCCCGGCGGATGCCAAGGTAGAGTTTTGCTGTTGTCATACCTTCTGACAGTGCATGAGATCACATAGTCCATGGTCCACAACAAACAAGCAGTAGATATCTTCTACCACACAGAGTGTTGTTCCATACCACGTCAAGCATGATCATTTAAGGACGTACCATGATGATTAGGCAAATGATTTAAATGTTACAAACTTCAGTCTTAAGTAATGGCTAAAGTAATACTTGGAAATAAAACTGTTACCTAGTGGTATTCTTTTCATAGTACATCTTTCATTGCAATTGCAGGAAGACATGATGCTGGTCCTAGGGCCTCATATGAACTGGCAGGAGATGCTGTGCCCAGCTCCTCTGTCGGTGTGTCTTCTGGGTCAGTTGGTGCTCGTCACTCTGGACAAGGACGTCTCTCTGGTGTCAGAACACATGGACAGATCTGCCTTCAAATATACCAAGTACCCTGATTCACTGAGAACAAGCATAGTTCAGGTCGCCAACCAGGGATGGACTTCCTTCAACTGTGCCAACAAGAACATGGACCAGATCCGTCTTCTTACCCTGCAGATACCTCTCCATGTCAAGAACGCTGTGAAGGTATTTATAGAAAAATTCATTCACGAAGAACATAAAAACCGAATACAAAAAGTAAAATCAATGCGTTTTAAAATACTAATCTGCTTGTACAAAGGTACTGAACACTTATTATACACTATTTCATGTTGCATATTTATGTATTGGTAAAAGAAAACGAAGAAGTAATCGCCATTGTGATTATATTTGTTTTGTCGATGATATGTAAGAATTTGTGTAATATAGTGTATCCAGTAATATTCTCATGGCTGACACAATGAGTTGAATATGAAAACACGATCCACATGTTAAATCAAAGATATGACAAGGATTGGAACATCTGACATCGTAATGTTTTGTATGAGGGTCTGTCGGACTGTGACTTAAAACTGTCACCGAAAAACGTTGACCTCAACTTTGACATGACATCATCGGTTTGCCAAAGAAAAATCTGTAAACTCGCAATGAGACTAATATCTTTACATTACTAGAGGCCTATTGGGAGTGAGTTTCGCGAAAGAAATCATGCTTATGTCCATTTGGGAACTACTTTCTTGAATAATCTCACCATGATAACATTGTACAAGGAAAGGTACTAGAATCTGTACTTTACTGAGAAAGTGTAATCCCAAATATAACATATGTTACATTGTACAAGGAAACTTTTTTTTTTTTTTTTCAATACAACGGTGATGAAGTTTTCCTCCCGTTCTCTCAGAGTCTTTTTCTGTAAATACACTTGTTTTGGTACATTTAGTCGCGAATAATTCTTTGCGGACATCACTGAATATGGCCACGATAACAAAGGTTTTTCTTATCACTCTTCATACATCACTCTAAAGCATCACTTCAAGTAGTATAGACATTGTACCTTGTGATCATATAATCTTGCAGTTTATCATTGGTGGATCTGATGAGGAAATACAAGAATTGGTTCCGGATATTTTGGCGAACATCGAAAGGATTACTGACACCTGTATGTTAAAAGCTGAGGAAGTTGAAACACAGTTTTCTGACGTCATGGATTTGATTGGCGAACTGCAAGAGGCATGTACATTTTCAAAAGGGGAATATGACGACAAGATTAGTAAAGCCGAAAAAGACATTGAAGTGAAATCAACACGGAAGGGGGCATTAGAAAAAAGGAAAGAACAAGCTGAAAAGGAGTATAACGAAATGACAGAACAGTTCCAAAAAGCTCAAAAGTCATATGAAAAGGCCATGGACTCTATACCCTCTGGATGGGAAATGGTTGGAATGGATTTCGTGGAGGGACTAGCCAAATGTGCTGTCACGGCAGTACAGAGTGTGACAAGCATATTCGCGATGAAATCCGTTGGTGGTAAGACACGCGGAAATAAGGGAGGGGACACAGCGTCTGTGAAATCAAAAACAGAAAAGTCTGCAGATGCACTCATGTTGGAGCTTCCTAGAATTTCGCTCTGCATCCAGAACGTCCTGGACAATTTCAACTTGCTTTCTGAGGGGAAAGAACCCGGGGATCTGACAATGGTCGAGTCAACATTAAGTGACATCATTAGTTCTCTCTCATCCTACTCAGGAGTATGTAGAGACAAATTCGATGGAATTAAGGAGGATGCGTCTCAACTGATTAAGACTTTGAAGGATGCCAGCAAGCAACTGTCAGGCGGGGAACAGCAAACAGAGAGAGTGAGAGTAGTGGCGGGAAGGCTAAATGCAAAGATGCAAGGTTTAAACTTGTTTTGCGAAACTGCATTTGGGGCAAAGCCATTCGAAATGCCGACCCCAAAGATGTCATCATATGAGCAAGGACAATCCGACTCTGCCTCTTCAAGACACAGTGCACAGGCCAGATTTAAGGTCGAACAAGCTTCATCTACCCTTGAGACCGTTAGAGATGACTTCCGTGATAAAAGCCAGAAACTAGATAAAGTCAGCGAAGACATCACAGCCATTATCACCGATCTTGCACGGATCAAGCTCGACAAGGTAGACTTTGACCAGATCAAAGCGTTATTGCAGAGAGGATTCAAGGCTATTGGGGAAGTCAGAACCCAATGGGGAAAATTGGTGAGATTTTTCCAAACAATATCCAACATCATTAAGTGTAGCATGAATGAGAATGTCAAGAATTTTCTCCAAAGTGCTGAGAAGGGGAAAAAGTTTCGCCTGAAGTACACCATGTCGGACATGCTGAGAGATATGATCTATGTACAAGCCACCGACGCAAACACCTTGGCCTACATGGTAAACAACCTTGCCGAGATGTACGTTGAAGTCTCACAGAAGCACCTGATGGATCAAGTTGCAAGTCTGGGGGAGTTGCTTGGACTGGATCCGGAAAAGGACAAGGCTGCAATTTCGAGAAGACAGACAGAACTGGAAACACAAGCAAAAGACGCCACTGCTTCAATTGCTGTTTTAGTTCAACAGAAGCAGAGAGAATTTGATACAAAGGTGAAGAGCAGAATACAGAGAATTGAAACCGAGATGAAAGCAGTTCTTCCTCCACCTGGACCGACAGACAAAGAAGTCGAGAAGGAGAAGAGGAAGGCTATCCAAGAGGCCAAGGAACTGAAGGCAAAGCTGAAGGACGAGGATGTCGATGACTGGGTGTGACTGTCATCTGTCATTACGATCATTACGCTAGTTTAACGTGGTAGCCAACAGCTTCTGTAAACTGAAATACACTACTGTCATGGACTATGGATTTTATAGTCCTTCCTGTACGCATCGGCTCATCAACTAAATACGACCATTCATATTTTCATTTATATTCTATATCTTGTGTGAAAACCCATTTACTCAGTCCCCCCTTATCAACGGGAAATAAAAACCATGTTTGAGAGTTTGCAACTTCAGACTTACAAATGACACATACACAGGCTCCACATTTTTAGACGATTCTATGTATTCTGCCATGATGAGGCCTTGCTTATGTTGAAGATAAACTAAGGGGTGGGGGTGGGGAGGGGTGGGGAGAAGAATGTTTCGCAACTCATCAAACCAATCCACCATCAACTGAAACCTTTGTATGGCCTTCATCAGCCGACGATATATATATCATTAAATGTTTTAGTAAATTAATTTGTATGGTACTAAAGATACGAAGCTGAAAAAATAAGGTTCTCTCGCCATTTCAGCATGTACATTTTATCATGTTTTATCATATTATGGACTAAGGGTCTAAGGTCCGGAATAAATTATGGGTTTCCGTTCAGCCATCGCTGGGTGTCAACTTAGATAAATGTACTGTCTGAATTTGGGCATTTGCCATGGCCAGTGATTAGTCTCATATAATTTGCGTGATATATATTCTCTTTCACAGCAGCTTTGTTAACGAACACATGGCCATGTTATACTAACTCGCTTGTGAGAGTCACAAAAACTCCAACCAGACAACTGTGGCACTTAACATGTTTTAGATGTATGCTATGCTTTACAAATAAACTCATTTCTTTATACCATTGTTATCTACTTGTACAAATATCATCGCCTGTTTTAAACACTATATAAGAAAATATAACCCCTTATACCTACGTACTGCCCTCATGGTGAAATGGATAAACCGTCGGTCTGGGGAGTAGAAGGACGCTTATTTGATCCTTTTGCTGACCATACCTAAAGGACGCGGTTGGTTAGCCTTGTGGTGAAAGCGTTGGCTCGTCACGCCGAAGACCCGTGTTCGATTCCCCACATGGGAACAATGTGTGAAGCCCATTTCTGGTGTCCCCCGCCGTGATATTGGTGGAATATTGCTAAAAGCGGCGTAAAACCATGCTCACCCACTTACCCTATACCATAAGTAGTTTAATGGTTAGACCAGTGAAGGTCCGGGTCAGAATGAACCTTCAGTAACCCATACTTGTCGTAAGAGGCGACAAACGGGATCGGGTGGTCAGGCTCGCTGGCTTGGTTGACACATGCCATGGGTTCCCAATTGCGCAGATCGAGGCTCATGCTGTTGATCACTGGATTGGCTGGTCCAGACTCGATTATTTACAGACCGCCGCTATATAGCTGGAATATTGCTGAGTGCGGCGAAATATTAAACTCAGTTAAATGGTTAACTCGGTGTCAGGATACTGTGATGGGTGTGGGGCATCCATGGTAAAGACAAAATATACTAGGCGTCATTAATAACGGGTCAAATCATATATAGCACATGTACAGAAAGGTTGCTCAGAAATAATACAACTAAGAGTGTCATCATAATGTTTAATGTTTTGACAAACGTGACACATCGTGACATACAGACAAAAAATTCAAACAGCACTAGCAAGCAACAGTTGTATAGACCAACCCCCCAAACATGAAAATGACAAACATGAAGCAATCGGTCATTCAATATCTTGTGTACCCTCCTCGCCCGCCCAAGACACAGGTGGACCTTGTTCTCATGCTCCTTATCAAGTTCATAAAGAAAGCTTGTAGAATCGCATTCCATTCCTCTACTAGAGTTCTGCCGAGCCCTGGGAGATCCACTGGTGCTGGGTGACGTGTGTACACATCCAAGTTCATCCCAGGCATGCTCAATTGGATTGAGGTCTAGCGAGCATGCTCGTCACTCCATCCGCTCTACACCCTGCTGCCTGAGGAATTCCGTGACAATCCTGGCCCTGTGAGGTCAAGCGTTGTCGTCTTGCAGTAAAGAGGGTCGACCGTATAAACCATGCAAAGTTTGCAGGAATGGTACTGGTATAGGAGCCAGAATCTCGTCCCGATAACGCTGTCCGGTAGGATTACCGTCGACCACGTGCAGTGGAGTACATCCAGTATATCCAGTATATCCAAATCAGTTATGCGTGGCCACAGCTGCATCTGTTATTCGTTCTCCATTGCGACGATAAATCCTCTGCCGACCATCATGGAAGGCCATATTGAATCTGCTTTCATCTGTGAATAGCACATGAGACCATTGACGTTGGTGTAAGCGGATATGACGTCTACTCCATCTCAAACGCACCTGTCTGTGACGTGGTGTTAGTGGTGGACGAACTGCAGGTCGCCTACAGCGGAGTCCAGCCAGAACAGAACAGAACTTTATTACACTCAAGGCTATATACATATCATATTGAGGGTTAACATTAGAACATTTTGAGTAATGGCGGATAAAGGTATAACTGGACAGGTTATTTAGTATTTGGTTTTAAGTGGTGCATGATAATATTACAAAATTTAGCCAGTTTGCGAAATACACTTACTTTATGGCAGTTGAATAATTGAGTGGTTTTATATACAGATTGACTTTGATAATAATATTTTGAGATGTACATTTTTCTATACTATACTTTACAAATGAATAGGTAATGGTATTCATCGCCAATAGCGTTAATATGACATAAATTACAAAGTCTATTTACATATTGTACATTATGCCATCTCCCCACTTCAACTGGCAGTATATGGCAAGCTATTCTAAAAAAGAGTAAAGGTAAATAGACAGTTCTTTTAAGTTTAGAAAGATAACATTCAAAATTCCATTGTAGTTTGATAACCTTATAGAATTTACATTTTGACGAGTTATTTACACAAGAGAACCATTGCTGTGCATATTGGTCATTGAGGCAGTTTCGGACATAAGCCTTAAGCCAATTTACAGAAGGGAAACACTGATTAATCCACACATTATTATTACCGGTGTCTGTTAGGATATTTCTGATGAAATTAATCCATTTATAACTATAGTTGGCATTACATTTGCAAACTTGTTTGTACAATACATTATATAAAACTGATGAAATTTTATTTGATTTTCCCATTATCAATTTCCCCCAAAATGGACAGTGGTATACGACCAGTTTCTCCGTATAACATACATAATGGTGTGCTTTTCTTACAAGACAGGACTTTACGAAAGAAACATAATTTTACATTTTCAGTCAATTTTAAATCTTCGTAACCCCAGATATCGGCCCCATAGGTTAAAATTGGCAAAATCATAGCATCAGATAATTTAAACTGGCATGAAATGGATAAATTGAACTTTCTTGCCTTAGATATATTAAAGCGCATGGCTTTGGTGGCTTTCTCACAAACAGACTTTCTCATTTCTATGTAGCTGCCGTTACGCCTAAGATGACGCCTAAGTATTTGTACATATCTACATGATCTACTGTAGCGCCGTTTAACTTGAATCCTGTAGAGAACGACTTTTAATTTCTTGCCATTGAAAATAAGAACATTTTGACATTAATCTTCAGTTTCCAATGTCGACAGTATTGGCTGAAAGCATCAAGTTGTTCCTGTAGAGATTCCTTTGTATGAGCTAGCATAACGGTGTCGTCTGCATACAATAGTGCAAATGGTTTAATTGAGATGTTCATTTCTTCATCCACCTTTATTGGGATTCCATCGCAGGACTTACTAGTGAGGCATTCTTCGAGGTCATTAAGGTATGGTGCAAATAGCATAGGGGATAGGTTTTCACCTTGCCGTACGCCTTTATTGCATGGGAAGTACTCGGTTCTTATGTTATTGCTGGAAACACATGATCGTATTGATTTGTACATGTTTTTGATTATTTTAAAGAAACTACCGTTGATTCCTTGCTTTAATAACTTGTTCCAAAGTCCTATTCTCCAAACATTGTCAAATGACTTTTCAAAGTCTATAAAAACTGCAAAGAGTTTCTTCTTGGATAGTTTATTAAGTTCCAAAAGGCAGTGGAGATTAAAGATATGATCACTTGTAGAGTACTGTTTCCTGAATCCAGCTTGTGCTTCGGAGAGGACCCCGGATGAATCTAGATACTTTGTGGGTCTGTTGTTCAGTACAGAGGTGAATAATTTGCTGAAGCAGCTCAGTAAGGTGATGGGTCTGTAGTTTTCAGGGTTATCTCGTTTTTCTGTAAACGTCTCCCTTAAACGTCGACGAACGGTGCTCCTGGATATCCTTACATTGTTAACATTTGAAGTGTTCTGTCTGAAGTTCTGCTGGGTTAAGGAATCTGTCATGTAGCGCGGTGTTAATCATGTACCTATCACCTCACCCGTTGTGACTCTGGGGCGATCTGGTCGACGTGCATATTCCACGGACCCATTGGCTTGAAATCTCTGCCACAGTCTACCAATAGCACTCACATTAAAGCGGACAGCCGCTAAGTTTGACCAGATTCCAAAAGGCCTATAGCCTGACCCCTTTCAGCAAGTGTAAAAAACCCGTCTAATTTTAAAAACAGGTATCTGTGTACGACATCGAAAAAGCATCAATGCATGCGTATTGTCCTCCACTTCCCATGGATAGAGCGAAATCATTAACATTAATTTGCAAGTGGATTTCCATATTGACAATTTGAATAAAAAATGTGCGATTTGTAACAGAATGTATCGGACGTTAAAGAACGTAATAATGACATTTCAACGGCCTGATGTGTTTCCATACTGTTAAAGGTCACATGCAACCGAAAAATCAAACATAATTAAAACACAATTATCACTTATTCATGACAAATATACATTGCTTATTATGAAAAAAACATATAAACAAAACTATAAGCGTACAATCGCAAATCACAAGTGCAATATTTTGTACTTGGGTTTACTTCCCTTGAAACGAAACACCCGGGATACCGAACCCAGTCAGGGCGCGTGGGTGTGCACTCAAGTGTAACGGCTGGTTCATTTGCCGATGCCTTCACGGCTCATTGTGAGTGTGTATATGGAGATGTTGGGTTTTGTAAATACATGCTCATTTTTTGTGCAAAACATTTTGCAATCAACAGACATCATAACATGTTATGTGTGCAAGTATCACACCTGCCTGTCTGTGTAATTACATAATGTCACAGAGACCGAACTCGAGCCATAAATCAATGCGTTTTGTTTATGGTGTATAGCCTGACAGGTGTTAAGTTCAAATTGCATGTGGTCAGTGATCGAAGTTGTGTATTGAATATTGCCATTAGCAGACAGGCAGGCAGATACATAGGTGTCAATAAAACAGACACTGAGTTTTGTCTGTGACAAGAACATATCTATATCACGGTTAGAAATTCTGTCAACGCTAAATAATGACATTGCTTTTAAGTATCGAACTGAGAAAGTGACTCGGTAAGAAGAACGTGTGGTGAAATAGACAAATGAAATTATATAAACAGTTAAATCGGTAATCTACTGTCATAACATATAAAAAGCTCGCGCCTATGAAATATCAACAAAACATTAGAAAAATAGCTCACATCAAAGCCTTCACCGAGTATTCACCGCCAGCGAAGGTTTTCCGTCTTGAAATGTCGAACGCCTCACTGGTTGACACATAGCTGAGTAGATCTAGATCCTAACAAGGTTCTTTTATGTAACGAGTAGAGTATTTACTATTTGTTTTGATTAGACTACTCCTGTTACTCCGACCTTATAATCCGGACATCCCGCTTCCAAGCTGCGCGAACCTATTGCACTGCGCATGTGCTATGAGCGCAGCCCAGCTGTTGAAACCACTTTTCACCCCAAGGCAGGGGTGAATTTAGTGAATCGTTTGAACGGGTTTTTTTTCCATCGCGTTATTTTTCAACTTAATAAGCTGAATTTGCATTTTTGATGATTTGTATCTGTAAGTCCATACCGAAAGGTATCAGAATCTGCAAAGTTGTGTTTTACCTTGCATGTGACCTTTAAGAAAGTTTGTAAAACATTCAGTTGTATATATTTCAAACAAAAATGAAGATTTTACAACCTTTCAGAAATTGTTACCAGTTGCTTGACCCTTCATTAATGACGCTGAGTATAGCTCTGGTGGGCTACCACTATTAAATGGCCACTATTCCGGTCTTACGCACGCACGCACGCTCACGCACAGGCACAGGAACAGGTTCACATAGGTACATGTACGTCACTATGTAAGGTACCTTAACCTAGCCACCATGCAGTCCAAAGACAATCCCTGCATGCAATCGGATAAGAAATGAAACCCCTTTTATGCCCAAAAAGTTGAGGTATATTGTAACTGTAGATCAGATAACTGTTTTCGTAATTCGGAACGGAGCCAGGTATCGATATGGAATGGAATTAGATACTTTACTTTCACCAGTCAGAATCAAGCATTCTTAAATGTCTTGTTATAATAGTCCAGTAAAGTACGTTTTTTAACGATCACGCTTGTAACGAACTGGCAGATATGACAAACACTTTTCATTTCGTTTACTTTCTGTATATTCAAGTCGACATGCATATACCGAACTACGGTTGTCAAGAACTAAAGTTAGTGTCTTTAAAGTTCCTTAAAACCGTAGTTTTACTGTAATTGTGTATAGAATCTAGCATTTTCAGTGTCTTGTTACAATAGTCCAGTAAAGTACGTTTTTAACGATCACGCTTGTAACAAACTGGCAGATATGACGAACACTTTTTGTCTCGGTTACTTTGCGTATATTCAAATCGACATGCATATAACGAACTACGATTATCCAGAAGTTAGTGGTCTTTTTGAATCCGTTAAAACCATAATTGTACTGTGATCGTGTACCTGTTACACTAAACTCTAGCCTTCTTATAGACGAACCTAAAGGGACAAATGGTCAGGTGTCCAGTAATTCTTGTCGTTATAGGGACGGTGGGGTAGCCTAGTGGTTAAAGCGTTCTCTCGTCACGCCGAAGACCTGGGTTCGATTTCCACATGGGTACCAATGTGTGAAGCCCATTTCTGGTGTCCCTCGCCGTCATATTACTGGTGTTGTGCTTAAAGCAGCGTAAAACCATATTTACTCACCGCATTGCGTTGATACGAATTCGTGGATTATTTGACATGCTAACCGATAAATAATGATGACACATATCCGTAACCTTGACACCCAAGTCCATTCGAGACCTGGTCAGTATTATCACGCTATTCACTAGATAGTAACAGAATTAGTGCACGACCTACTGTATATAACACCTAAGGGTTATTGGGCATCAGGGATGTAGGTGGCTCAACAGCGCAAGATGTTGAACAAGGACTCGGTGTATGGACTTCTGTATTTATGCCTTTGTGTCAGTAAGTGTCTTGTTTCTTTGTGGGTTATAAAACAATGATTTATAATCAAATACAAGGATCACGTGAAGTGTTTTGCTTCTGTCTGACTGTTTATGTAGGTTTGACGACTGATGTTTGTAATCAGGAAACATCCTGTCTCGTCACAAACTTACTTTCTTATTAGACATAATAATAATTAATAATAATAATTCATTTCTATAATGCCTAGTATCCATCTGACTAGTTGCTCACTGACCGCTGTAATAAGAATCTGATTATTATTACCCCGGATAACCCAAGCTGCCTGTTAGGCGCTAGAAGGGTATAGTCACATGACGTTATCCCACCGGGTACCCATTTTCTGCTGGGTGAACAGAGGCAATTTTGAACAAACTCGCTTGCCTAATAGTAGACAACATGTATCACATGTGCTTCATTGTGGGGCAGGACTGAAGTCTTAGAAACTCTCAGGCGTCAAACTGCCAAACACGGTCACCCATCCAAGGACTCTCCGAGCTCGACGTTGCTTTACTTCAACTGATTCGTGACCTGAGCTCTACAAACAGGACCACACACCATCACTTAGGATGGTTGCAATTTGCGAAGCCAATTTCTGGTGTCCCCTGCAATGATATTGCTGGGATATTGATAAAACTAAACTCACACTCACTGAGAAATAATACTGAGTTGGGATATATACCTATATCACGCGTTATATTATTTTACTCTCAATGATCTGGTTGTATATTTGACGATTTGATGGAGGTCGAGGCGATAAGGTGTTTTATGTCGAAATAGAAGAGCATCGGTAAATATTACTTGCAACTGATTTCACAAGAGACTACCTCGAATATATTTTTTGCAAAGCTCAAACCCTTTGAGGATGAACGGTTTAACATTAACAACACAATGTTTGACGTCACGGAGCTTCTATCTTACCGGGGACTGACGTCACGACGTAACATACTACTTCAAAATGACATCATGTAAAGCCTAGAACAGGGTTTGTTTGGCTTGTGTATATCCCAGCTATATGGCGGCGGCCTGTAAATAATCGCCTATGGACCAGACAATCCAGTGATCAACAGCATGAACATCGATCTACGCAAATGAGATACGATGACATGTGTCAACCAAGTCAGCGAGCCTGGCCATCCGATCCCGTTAGTCGCATCCTCGCCTCGAAGAAGAATCTTGTAATCGCTGCACATCCGCTCTATCATACAGTTACAGTTAACATTCTAAGTTCTAACGATATCTGGTGCGGAAGACTTAAGGAACTTCCAAATCTGAAAATCATACATGATACTTGTCCGTTTTCTGTTCAAAATGTTACTACTTAGCTCGTATTGCAGACAATATCATTACTCTACTGGCCTATTTTTGTTGGAAATATAATAAATGCATATATTTTTAGCAATTCAGCTTCACCTTCAGGGGTAAATTGATTATCACTCGTTAACGTCCACCATTCGTTAAGACTCGCCTCTTTCCGTGATCTACAAAAAGACTCCTATCATTATAGTACGTCATTACATTCGTGACTACTCGCTTCTTTCCGTGACCTACAAGAAGACTCGTACCTGTATAGTACGTCATTATTGCCAAGAATCGCGACAAACCAATCAAATCGCGCGTAGTAAAACGCATTTGGAAATTGGCGGAACCGTTGAACTATGCAAAGCACAACTTAAACATACACTTTGAGCAAAAGGATCAGCAACTTTCAACAATGAAACATATTTAGAAGGGAATGACTGTATAGCTGTTTTTCTCACGGGATATGGGACATTCCAGGAGTAGCCATGTTTGGCAGTTCAGAGTTACCTTTCCTTGGAGATAATACTAGACTATTTTCACCTCCGTGCCCGTATGCGCTTACGCAAGGCCCAGTCGTGAAGATGACCACAATATGGGTACAAGTCGCCATCCGGCTTGACGGAATGACACGAGTAGTTACGAATGATCGTCCACATGGTGCGAGTTACCTCCCCACGAACTACATCAGGCGCCGATTTCTCGAAACAAACTTAAGTCTGAGTTTTGACTTAAGTTGGTTTGAGAAAATGCAGGAAAATGCATTTCCCAGAATGAACTATGGTGGGGAATCGATAATAAACTCAAACATAGTTGACAATTTGAGTTTGGTGGATAGATTACTTAAGTTGTTTGGGCTCTTTTATTTAAAAAAATGCAGTTGAGTTTAAAATTCAGCTGTTTCAAATTGTCCAACTCAGTTTGAAATTTGAGTAAAAACTTAAGTTAGTTTCGAGAAATCGGGTCCTGGGCCTAGATTTTCGAAGCTCTCTTAGCGCTAAGATAGTCGTAAGTGCCATACATTAACATTAACATACGACTATCTTAGCGCTAAGATAGTCGTAAGTGCCATACATTAACATTAACATACGACTATCTTAGCGCTAAGAGAGCTTCCAAAATCTAGGCCCTGGTCTCTAACTAATAATATGTTATAATAATATATATCATGTCCCGGATGTAGGTCATACTATGTCCCGGATGTAAGTCCTACCATCCCCCCTATGAAGTCACGACCCATGTGACATGTTATGACCTCTATGTATTATCAGCTTAATATCGGTAGGTATATACCACTCTTCATGTCAAGCCCATATCTACCATTGACTCTTATATCACACAGCACAGGGTCAAGGACTTCGGTCCTGTCCACACTGAATTGTTTGTCTGTTGTTTAACGAATAACTCAGCAATATAACAGCTATATAGCGGCGGTCTGTAAATAATCGAGGTTGGACAAGACAACCCACTGTTAAAAATAATGAGCATCGTTCTACAATTGGGATACAGTCGGCTAGCTTGGCCACCCGATCCCGTTAGTCGCCTCTTACGACAAGCATGGGTTACTGAAGACCAATTGTTCCCCGGATCTTCACGGGCACACAGGTACAGAAGTAAATAGAGGTGAATCAGTATACGGAAAGAGGAAATGCACGGATAGACGTCTAGCGCCTTACAGGCTCGTGGGCTGTATGGTGCCTAGGGAGCTGAGAATGAATGAGTGTGTACTGAACCATTGGCTGGGATAATGATGAGATTCATCACGGTCTAAGCGCATCTATCAATTAAAGATTAGACCATTCGTTAGACAAATTCATTCAATATTGATGATATATGACAGAAACGTCCACAGTGGAATGACGGGATGTGCCAATGTCCAATGGGAAAGTCCGGGTTCGATTCCAAACATGGGTATACCTATACTAGAGTTTCCCCCAGAATCCAAAATGGGCAGGGCGACAGAATTTCGAAAGGTGCGCCCCCCCCCCCATTCCAAAAAGGGCATGGAATGACAGATTTATAAGTATTATGCTAAATTATTCACGCATATGATTATCAAAGGCTCAAAGAGGACAGTTATTTTGACATAGCATGAGCATGAAATAGAAAATCAGCATCCATGCTTGGTACAAGAGTGAGAGAGTGGAGAGAGTGAGAGAGAAAGAAGAGAGAAAGAGGGAGAGAAGAGTGAGAGTGAGGGAGAGAGAAGACAAAGAAAGAGAAAGGAAGATAGAGAGGGAGAGGAGAGAGAAGATAGTGAGGGGTGAGTGAGGAGAGGGGAGAGACTGAGGGAGAGAGAGAAAGTGAGGGAGAGAACACACTGAAACATAGACTCACATGCCACTGTATTTCATTTCAGCAGTCACGCCATGCGCAGAAGGAAAGCAGGACTTTGCCGTCAACGTCAACACCGACGGCAGCTACAACGTCGTTGTCCAGGGAGAGGTCTGGCTGAAGAGCGCTCCCACCTTCTTCACATCTGACAGTAAAGTCTTCACCACGGCTGATGGATCTCTGAAGCTGGTCAAGAACACTCAGTCCAGTGGTGTGGACTTCATTGGTCAGTGGCAGTCCAGCAGCTTCTTGTACCAGGCAGGGACCAGTCAGATCGAGTCCAGTTTTGTACAGTACACCCCGGATAAAAGCATCTTCACCTACAACAATCCTGCCATACCTTTCATGCTGTTCAAACAGGTAAAATACGTAGCCTCATAGATTAAATGTAATTCTAACATTCGTCTTAGGCGCCGTTATTACCTGTGCAGAGTTATGTCCCTTGGACACGCCACAAAACTATGATAGTGGGTTCGGATCCCGGTTCGTCCCGACCCCGGTGTCATCAACGTGGTAAATATCCAAAATCTTCATTATTTCCATCTATCACGCCGCGATATAACTGAATAATGTGTTAAGTAAAACCAACTCACTCACTCCAAACTGTACAGGGTGGTTGACGTATACCATCGATTGGACCCGTCCCACTTTCTTCACACATCAAGTAAACGAAACAAATGAAACCCTTTTGTTTCGATTTTCTCACATAACGGACCACCCTGCTGGATCGTTCGTATATGCACTTGGAAAACGTTAAGCTCCACTTTATCAGCTTCATGGCTGTTAGTGAACATGGAGTATATATGGTTAAAGTGCATATAAGGCCAATGTAAAATGAAAGCTTGCATTAAGATGGAAACGATAATTTCACCAGTTAATCCAAACTGTTTTTTTCCGCATTATTTCTCACTTGTTCGCCGCAAATAGTTGGAAAATTGCTGATGCGGGGTAAAGCAATATTCATTCATTCATTCATTCATCCCACTTGCTCGGTGGGTCTCGTATATAACGACGGGTTGTAAATAGATTCTACCACATGCACATTTGATTGGTGTTTGTATTAATGTCTAACATATGTTACAGTAAAGTAAAGTACAGATTTTTTTCTCGTACTTTTAGGGGTTGAGTCCCACGGGGAAGCCACGGTGGCTGAGCGGGTTAGACTTTGTGCAAAAGCTGGTGATTAGGTGCCCTCACCGTGAGGTGTGGGTTCGAATTCGCCTTGGACTCAACCCAAAAAAGTACTAGAATCTGTACTTTACTAAGAAAGTGTAATCCCAAATATGACATATGTTACATTTGACCACTTTCTAAATGGCATTGTGTATTCATGTATTAATGTAACCCTGAGTTGCTGTCAAAGTCACCGAATTGTATATGTGCTCGAGTAAATAATTCCTATATCACCACCACCACCACTACCATCACCATCATCATCATCATCTGCACTAATGTTTTCATCAACATCTTCAACAACAGCGTTACATCAACGGAGCTAACAACACCGCCACCAACGGTAACTACACCATTTCTGGTTTTCCTGGATTCCAAATACAAGAGGCAAATCTTCCTTTGGGCTACCTTTGTTATAGCGGCCTAATGTTTGGACATGATTATCTACGGTCTGGGCAGTAAGCACTTGAAAACAGTATTCTTGTTTGTTTTATCATCTCTTCTTCGAATTTTCAGTCTTTACTTAAAAACACATTCTTGGTGATCATATTATTATATCATATAACATAATAAATATCGCAAATTTGAAAGCGTGATAATTTTCAACATCGTATCATAACTTTTCCATTGTAACCTTTAAGTAAACTCTCAGTGTTGAGATACAGAGACGACGTCATCAGTCATGACGTGATCAGATTATATATGTGGTACCGGTAACTAAACCAATCTGGGCAAATCTGATATCTAACTAATGCCGAATATCTAACTAATAAAAAATGGTACTTATAAAATTCCATACGTGGTGAAAAGTGCGAACATTGAGGGCATTCCATCCCGTTTCAGCCAATCAGCTTGCAGCAATCATTTTACAATTACAGATGGGGGCCGTCATCATTTACGATCATCGATGGACTCAGAGGCGGTCCCCTGGCACTATTTGATCGCGAGAAGACTGCAAATGCCCTGATTATCTCCCCTGCCAGTCAGTTTATGTCGTCATCAATATGGCGTCAGAACGCAAGTACGGGCGGAGACAACGTCTACTGGGGGGACAATGGGTGGAGTGGAGAATGTTCCTGCAGATGTAGAAAACAGTTTTATTCTTTTCTGTGGCAACCAAGGCATTAACAAGGTACATAAACTTCAGAGTGCTCTTCTGGACGGATGCTTTTCTTCGTTTTGTTCACTGGAATGTGTCGTAGCCATGGTTTCTGATCACAGGCATGCAGTCAAAAACGCTTTTCCAGTTTAGAAACAACAAATTTATTTTATCTCCCAAATTTGGGAGTCAGTGTCATTTCTAGAATTAGAAAATAAAGCTACTTTGTTTTCAATTTTGCGGTCCTTTATCGTTGATTTAAGACCGCTAAAATGAAATTTAAAAACCGGACGCGCACGGTTTTGATGAGCTCCCAGCAAATCAGAATCGAGTATCACACAATGTCGTGCTACTGGTTCAGGTTCGTACCCTTATTCCGTCCAAACGAAAACCTCTATTTTCCATTTTAAGAAAATGCATAAGTATGTATATTTGTCATTGATCTCTGATTTGCGATCTTGGTATGTAGTAACGAGATATATGCTGAATATTTATGAACCTTTAAGAAAGTGTTCCGTTTCCTATCACTCGGTGTATGACAATCTACTTTCAGGCCTTCGTGAGCTGGGGTCAGATTTTACAAACATGGCACGGCCGCACGGATCAGTATGTCAAATCTGACTTTACAATCAACTACTTGGGGTACTGGACCGACGATGGTGAGGATATATCAATTTTACATTACAATCATACTTCACACAGTCACATGTTATGATTTCCTTTTGAGTTTTCCGTTTATCGAAGTTCGAATCCCATGGTCCAATACTCGATTGTGATCCTTCGTCCATTGGAATTATTGCTGTTCTTATGTGTCTCTATACACTATGCTCATGTGCGAAGTAACTTGTTTGATACCCGACTCAAAGTATTCTTAGCAGTCTTGTTTTATGCCCTACTGCCGATCGCCAGGCAAGGAAACAACAAGTACCATCTTGTAACGTCTTTCCGTATAACACAGACGAGGACAGAACTAGTCTGTCTCACAGTCCCTGAACCATATTACTTTCCCTACAGCCTAACCCTCTCTGCAATGCTACAGCCTAAAATGAAGCAAGTTGTTACAATCAAACTTATATATGTTCAGAGACTAAGGGGGCAGTAGGGTAGCCTAGTGGTTAAAGCGTTGGCTCGTCACGCCGAAGACCCGGGTTCGAATCCCCACATGGGTACAATGTGTGAAGCCCATTTCTGGTGTCCCCGCCGTGATGTTGCTGGAATATTGCTAAAAGCGGCGTAAAACCAAACTCAGTCAGTCAGTCAGTCAGAGACTAAGCGTTAGTCTGGGATAGAACCACCTTCTGCCCTCCCAACAAACGCTCTATTTATCAGACCACGGAGGTTGTCTTAAATGAAACGAAACTGAAACTAATACATTGTAACTTATCAGACACATTAGAAATATAGAAAAACACAAAACAATTCCAGACCGCTTGATTGTTCTCATGGGTGATTCTATGTCATCTGGTGGTGTGGGTATTGCTCGTGCTATCAACCACTTGTTTGTACCACCAGGTTTATACATCACAGATTAAAGTGATTTGGAACAACACTGACGAATTTTAATTTTGAAATTTGTTTTGATGCACAAGGAATGCATGTCAAACAGATATGTTACGAAAAGCACGTATTGTTTGTGCAGGTGCGTATTACTGGGACGTTCCGGAGAAGGGGAAGAACTACCAGGATACGATACTGGACATCAACAACTACATTAAACAGCTCGGGGTACCCGTCAGGTTTGTACATGCAGGTTAATCATAAACATTTTGTCAACTCGTGATATTAAATACGAATTGGCAGCACGCACTGCTCTATAGTACACCGGACGTTAAGGAACAATACTCGATCCTGTCTTAACATTATGGTTATTGAATCTGATGTATAAAGCTACGGAAAGACTCAGGTTTTCTGTATTATGTTTTGTTGCCAGGTACACCAAGCACAACTCGGACGAAATCCGTGTTGTTTTCTTGCATCCTGACTGACTGGGACAGAAACCCTGTTGTTTTGTTGCCAGGTACATCCATAATCCATGTTGTTTTGTTGCCAGGTACATCCTGAATGACTAGGACAGAAACCATGTTGTTTTGTTGCCAGGTACATCCTGACTGACTAGGATAGAAACCATGTTGTTTTGTTGCCAGGTACATCCTGACTGACTAGGACAGAAACCGTGTTGTTTTGTTGCCAGGTACATCCTGACTGACTAGGACAGAAACCGTGTTGTTTTGTTGCCAGGTACATCCTGACTGACTAGGACAGAAACCGTGTTGTTTTGTTGCCAGGTACATCCTGACTGACTGGGACAGAAACCCTGTTGTTTTGTTGCCAGGTACATCCTTACTGACTGGGACATAAACCCTGTTGTGTTGTTGCCAGGTACATCATGACTGACCAGGACAGAAACCCTGTTGTTTTGTTGCCAGGTACATCCTGACTGACTAGGACAGAAACCATGTTGTTTTGTTGCCAGGTATATCATGACTGACCAGGACAGAAACCGTGTTGTTTTGTTGCCAGGTACATTCAGTACGACTGGTGGTGGTACTATTACGACAACGACCACGGCATCACGACATGGGCAGCTAAACCAAACATCTTTCCTGATGGATTGCAGTGAGATATATTTATTCAAAGATGATTCTGATTTCAGATAATTTCAAATATCTCTTAATACATTAAACTATGATAAATATATGCATGAATTCTATAAATATTCTCGAATGAGGTGAAATATCTACTTTTAATTTTAAATGTTCGCAGGCATCGAGAATTTTTAAATATCTGATATTATTAAAAATACATTAAGTCATTATTAAGAGTATTATTATTTTCTGACCGTTAATCATGATCAGTCAATTAAGCGCTCTTGTTAGTATATACATACAGGTTGATGTCAGAACTGTTATATATATATCTATGTTTACTAATATATGCAAAAAACATTCCACATCCACAAGAAATCTCTGCCAACAGCAGAGTCGACATTGTACAATTTCGACTGTATCATGATCATTTATTTAGTGTTGATACCATGTGTTCGCGAAGTGGTGGTATGCCCCTCCGGTGGCACCTGCCATAAACACATGCAAAGGCTAGTCAATCACCCCACATATCTATGATCAAACTGTTTGAAAGCTTTAATGAAGCCTTGAATCAATTTAACCCCTTTCATCGTGTGTCCCAAGGTGGCTGTATAACAAGACGGAGCTTCCTGTTCTTGCCCACAGCATGTTCTGGTGAGTCGGGATTATGTAATAGCATAACGTTTATAATAAGCATCAGAATATGTACGTCATCCTCATTTACTGGTGTTTGTCGTGATTTTTGGTCCGTTTGTCTCGACTCATAATGTCCAAATAGACATTCACATATACTGACGGAGGAAAGAGAGTATACAGCCATGTTTGATGGTGGCTAAATAATGTCATGATGGTGTGTTTCATACTGGCATCATAGATGTGTCAAAGAATCATGCATCGGACAATTTGCCATTTTCAGGGTAGTACCATTTTAATATCGTCAGTAATTTTGGGGTCCATTTATATTTTCAAGACTATAGTTTCAGAATCATTTCACACAATTTACCCTTGTGGGGAATTGGTCACCATTTTGATGGTTTGCAGTATGGCTTGACACCCCAACTGTATCATACGCTGGATTGACAACATGCTGTTTTTGTTTAATACGACTATTTCTAGACGTCTTGTAGAAAGTAGGTACACAGAGATTATTAGGCAGTCAGCTTTGCATTGAGTGATCGACTGATTACAGTCGTTGGTTTGGATAGGTGGTATCGTCCTCCAACCTCGACCTCGATCTGGTCATTTAGGCCTCGATCTGGATAACAGACAGATAAAGTAGTAGCTGGATGGTAACAAGACATGAACACTGAGAGAAAGATAACCTCGATATCGATGGACATCCACCCAGTTAGCAAACCCCCAGCTTGTCACGGTGGTATATATAGAATCAAGTGTGGGTCTGGCGAACAAATGGTCGATGGTATGAGTAACGATCTACTCCGTGGGGGCACTGTGACACGCCATCAGCAGGGTTACACACTGTAGTCACATGACCAACTTACAAATGTGGGTCACAGGTGACCAGTCACTCTGGAATTACACGGGGTTTCATGGTAGTTAAAAGCTAACCATGTAACTTTTGTTCTTGTTTATACGTTGAAAAATGTTAATGAATTATTCCTTGGGCTTCCCCTAGGTCCAGCAACACGACTTACGCAAAGGCTAATGGAGGGAAGTACGACTTCCTGATCGACGGTGGAAAATCATTGCCCTTGGAGGAGGTAATGATACATTTTATGGAGTTCGACATATCGGTGTTAAAACAGTGATAACATGAGTAAGGACACCATAAGGAAGTTGTGACTGAGTGAGTATGGTTTTACGCCGCTTTTAGCAATATTCTCAGCAATATCATGGCGGGGGACACAAGAAATGGGCTGCACCCATTGTACCCATGTGGGGAATCGAACCCGGGGTCTTTGGCGTGACGAGCGAACGTTTTAACCATGAGGCTACCCCCCGCCCTATCTAAGGAAGTGAGACAGGACAATTAGACAGGACAGGAAGTACACATGACTAAGTCGCATCGCATTACTTAAAAACATTGCTAGGGATTTAATTTTTTTTGTGTTTACATCTGAAATCAAGATGTTAAATTTATGTAAAGTAGGATTTGAACAGAATTTTGTAGGCAGGTACAAAGAACTTATTTTTTGGTTTAAATTACACACTATTCCAAAATGATATTTATCTTCATCATACCATTGTTTGCGTACAAGACATAATCTATCAGCTTTAGGTTCTTAAAATATCTACCACTTTCAATTTGAACCCGAGGTGAGAAATGAATTCACAATGCCATTTAGAAAGTGGTCAAATGTAACATATGTTATATTTGGGATTACACTTTCTTAGTAAAGTACAGATTCAGATAAAGTACTCTTGTTGGGTTGAGTCCCATCCGGGATTCGAACCCACACCCTCAGAGTCAGGCACCTAATCGCTAGCACACAAAGTCAGCCGCCTAACCCGCTCAGCCACCGCGGCTTCCACAAAAATGGAAGTCGGACAACTGGTAGTCTTGACTCTGTGTACCCCCTGATAAATGTAAATTGGCACGGCTCCCACTGCCGAAATCTATGAATACACAATGCCATTTAGAAAGTTGTCGAATGTAACATATGTTATATTTGGGATTACACCTTCTTTGTAAAGTACAGATTCTGTACATATTGTGTAAAGTACAGATTCTGTACTTTACTAAGAAAGTGTAATCCCAAATATAACATATGTTACGAATTACAGATTCTGTACTTTACTAAGAAAGTGAAATCCCAAATATAACATATGTTACTAAGTGAGAAAATTCTCAATTGATCCCTGAATTTTGAAATAGTGATTTTCCTTATATACGATTGTACGCCAAAGGATGATTTGAAAGCAACATGAGATGAGTATTTGGAGCTGCTATGGAGGGCTGTATGCCAATCATGCTGATAAGATATATTGATTCTGTGTACAAATTCTGACATAAAGCTGCTAATATGAACTACAGAAGGCCAAATCCATACATATAGAGAATACCTTCAGTTGTTCCATTGACACAACTAGCAGTAATAACTTGTAATATCTCTTTTTACAAACCTCCTATCAGGCAAAATTTCAATTCGATTGTATAAGTGGACTGTTGACATGTTATGTCCATCATAGGGGTTTTAGAAAATATAACAAAGAAAGATGGTAAATTTTTAGTCGATTTCTACTGGGAAACAACATCTAATATTCGATAACTTAATACCATTATTTACAAATTTCAAAATATTCATTTCTCCCTCATACAAAGAAATCGGAACATACTACTGTAGGCTGCTATTTGTCATAAACGTCTTAATTACAGGAACCATCCATTACCTTTCAGAAATTCTGGGATGATTTGCTCGCTGATGCAAGGAAGTGGGGCTTGTTGGTCTTCGAACAGGTAATACCTCTCATACAAAACTCTACACCACACAACTATTTTGTGAAGAGATTTATCTCCACTGAAGTGCATGTACCAACATTTACCCAAAATTCTTAAAATGTCACTTTAAATTAGAAAGAAAGAGCGGCCAAAGGCAGATGACCTTGAAAACCTTTGTCAGGTATGAAAGTGAACCCACATCAAGCACCAAATTCTATTAATGAGACTTTGTTTTCTAGGATTTTATGAATGTTCAATTTGAAGAACTTCATAAGGTGTGGAGCGACATCGACCTGGGCCGACAATGGCTGCTTCAGATGGGCAATGGCGCCGCCAAGAATGGCCTGACTCTTCAGTACTGTATGTCGTTGCCACGTCACATGATGCAGGCATTGGAAATACCCGTTGTTACACAGGTACAGTGAAAGGACAGGGTGGTTGGTTTGTTGTTTAACGCTGCACTCAGCAATATTCCAGCTATATGACGGCGGTCTGTAAATATTCGAGTCTGGACCAGACAATCCAGTGATTAACAGCATGAGCATCGATCTGCACAACTGGGATACGATGACATGTGTCAACCAATTCAGTTAGCCTGACTACCCGATCCCGTTAGTCGCATAGGTTGCTGAAGATCAATTCTAACCCGGATGTTCACGGTCACACAGGTACAGTGAAGGGGGACATGATATTGCTGAATATTGCAAAAAGCGGCATGAAACTACAGTCACCCACTTACTGTATCCATTGTGAAGTGTGATACATCAATAATTATGAAGTTCTGTTTGTCAATCTGAATTATTTCCGTTCCCACAGACTGCTCTGATGTCAATATGGTCGGCGAAGTAGCCTTGTGGTTGAAGTGTTTGCTCGTCACACAGACGACCGGGTTCAATTCCTAGCATATGTACGATTTGTGAATTTCATTTTATCTCCGGTCACCCGATATGCAAAAAGAGGAGTGAAATTTCAAGTCATCACTGCGTGGCTGTGTGAGTTGAAACCTAAGAAGTATGTTTGATACTTGTCACATTTACACTGCATCTTCCAGGCCCGTGCCAGTGGTGACTACATCCCCGGCACCGCCAACTGGAAGGTGGGCGTTACGTCACTGTTTGCGTGGGCTCTCGGCGTTGCGCCATTCAAGGACAACTTCTGGACAACCAGCGTTCAGCCTGGAAACCCATACCGTATGTAGAGCGTTGTCAAGCAACAATGATGCATTATTAAAAGTTCATCTCTGCTTTGTTTGTAAGTGTATATGCGAGGCACTCATAGATTTACCTGCCCCTATAAATAATGAAATTTGGACCAGACAGAATAGTCATTTCGAGCAGCGATGTACGCCCTGGTTGTACGGTGACATGCAATCAAAACAAGTTATCCAGTCTGTCTTCCGTAGGCTGATATATACCTAGTTCTATCTGGTTTAAACGTGTTTTGTTTCAGATGGTGCCACAGAACCGTTCACGACCTTGAACTCTGCAATAGCAACCCTCAGTACAGGTCCAGTAGGGGTCAGCGACATGGTGGGGTATATGAACAAGACACTCGTCATGAAGTAGGTTGACAATCATCACGAATTAGGTTGACAATCATCACGAATTAGGTTGACAGTCCTCATCAAGTCCTTTGATAGTCATCATTAAGTAGGTTGACAACCATCACTAAGTAGGTTGACAGTCATCATGAATTAGGTTGACAGTCCTCATCAAGTCCTTTGATAGTCCTCGTGAAGTAGGTTGACAATCATCACTAAGTAGGTTGACAATCATCATCAAATTAGTTGACAGTCCTCATCAAGTCCTTTGATAGTCATCATGAAGTAGGTTGACAACCATTAATTACTAAGTAGGTTGACGGTCATTGCGAAGTAGGTTGACAATCATCACGAAGTAGGTGGACAGTCCTCAGCAAGTCCTCATGAAGTACGTTGACAACCATTACTAAGTAGGTTGACGGTCATTGTAGCTTGTTAGTAGTCATCACAAATTTACTTAATAAACTTCCAATAAGATATGTTGACAGTCCACATAAACTACACTCACAATTATCATTGAGTCATAAGCCAAAATATCGTGTAACGTTGATTCGACAGGTGGGCAAATCAGAATGCAGGATTCTAAAAGCTCACGGTAATACGGAAACTATCTGTCATGCTGTATCCCTCATACTTACCTCCCTTTGTTTATCTGTCGTATGATAACAAAGATATCATCCAGGTAACATTTTAACGTGTGACGAATACACATAACCATACCATACCTTTTCTTTCAAATGAAATGTTTTCCTCATTTTAAGCTGGAACACGCTTTCTGCAATTTGCAGCAACGCTTAGAACATCAGCTAAGTTGTGGCGAGTAATGTTTTGAAATGTTCTGGCCAAACTTAACAGATGATATCATTAATGTATTTTCACATTCTTTCAACAGATCTGTCAATGCTGACGGCCTCATCTTAAAGCCGTCACGACCAGCGACGGCAATTGATAACATGCTACGAAAGGTGCTTCCTAATTAACGTATACAGTTTTCACCATAAATAGTGCAATAAAGTGGTTCTACAGTTTTGCCCTGAACTGTTAAAGTTAAAGCCCGAGGAGTGCTAACCGAGTTAGTTGCACTGGAAGAGACCGCATGAGGCAGTGACAACTGACGTGAAGCGTGACGTCAATACAGTCATCAACAACATGAGCAGCGATCTAAGCTAAACGTTATTTTTGTACTTCATTGCCTTTGATATATTTAGCGAACCATCTTAAAATTAAGTAATGTTATATGCACTGAAAATCTATGAAACAATATGGAAACGTACGAAATGCCCTTCATAGCGTCATATTTCATGCACGTCATATTTCCCCAGCTGGCCTGGTCGGACTTTGAGGGTCCAGACGGGGAGGTGTGGTCCACGTATTCAGATTTTGGGGGTGAGAACAAGTACGGCATCATCCTGGCCGCTGATCAAGTGGGAAGCTACACCATGACGCCATGCATGGCGGGATACCAAGGGGTGAGACATGCCAGATAAATTATTAAGATTTATGTATAACCGTTCTTCAACATCTTTACACAAATATGCTTAAATGTATCATATGGTTCGGAAATTGGGGTGTTGTGCCCCTTTAAGATGAACGTTGTCAATGTTGTATTTCTAGTTTCCCAACTCGATGGTGTTCCCTGCCAATGATCCTAACAAGATCCAACCTCTGACGGATCCCCAACCTCTGACTATGAGTGGCTGCACCACTGTTGACTTCTGTCTCTTCTATGTATCGCCGGTACTCAAGGTCAATGGGTATGTGTCTTACTACACCACAACTAAGGCAACAGTTGATATTCTGGGTCTTAGCTGGGCTTATTGTTCGAGACAGATATTCTGGGTCTTGGCTGGGGTAATATTCGAGACAGATATTCTGCGTCATGGTTGAGCTTATTGTTATAGACAGATATTCTGGGTCATGGTTGAGCTTATTGTTATAGACAGATATTCCGGGTCTTGGCTGGGGTAATATTTGAGACAGATATTCTGGGTCATGGTTGAGCTTATTGTTATAGACAGATATTCTGGGTCTTGGCTGGGGTAATATTCGAGACAGATATTCTGGGTCATGGTTGAACTAATTGTTATAGACAGATAGTCTGGGTCTTGGCTGGGGTAATATTCGAGACAGATATTCTGGGTCATGGTTGAGCTTATTGTTATAGACAGATATTCTGGGTCTTGGCTGGGGTAATATTCGAGACAGATATTCTGGGTCATGGTTGAGCTTATTGTTATAGACAGATATTCTGGGTCTTGGCTGGGGTAATATTCGAGACAGATATTCTGGGTCATGGTTGAGCTTATTGTTATAGACAGATATTCTGGGTCATGGTTGAGCTTATTGTTATAGACAGATATTCTGGGTCTTGGCTGGGGTGATATTCGAGACAGATATTCTGGGTCATGGTTGAGCTATTATTATAGACAGATATTCTGGGTCTTAGCTGGGGGTAATATTCGAGACAGATATTCTGGGTCATGGTTGAGCTTATTGTTATAGACAGATATTCTGGGTCTTGGCTGGGGTAATATTCGAGACAGATATTCTGCGTCATCATGGCTGAGCTTATTGTTATAGACAGATATTCTGGGTCATGGTTGAGCTTATTGTTATAGACAGATATTCCGGGTCTTGGCTGGGGTAATATTTGAGACAGATATTCTGGGTCATGGTTGAGCTTATTGTTATAGACAGATATTCTGGGTCTTGGCTGGGGTAATATTCAGAGACAGATATTCTGGGTCATGGTTGAACTAATTGTTATAGACAGATAGTCTGGGTCTTGGCTGGGGTAATATTCGAGACAGATATTCTGGGTCATGGTTGAGCTTATTGTTATAGACAGATATTCTGGGTCTTGGCTGGGGTAATATTCGAGACAGATATTCTGGGTCATGGTTGAGCTTATTGTTATAGACAGATATTCTGGGTCTTGGCTGGGGTAATATTCGAGACAGATATTCTGGGTCATGGTTGAGCTTATTGTTATAGACAGATATTCTGGGTCATGGTTGAGCTTATTGTTATAGACAGATATTCTGGGTCTTGGCTGGGGTGATATTCGAGACAGATATTCTGGGTCATGGTTGAGCTTATTGTTATAGACAGATATTCTGGGTCTTGGCTGGGGTAATATTCGAGACAGATATTCTGGGTCATGGTTGAGCTTATTGTTATAGACAGATATTCTGGGTCTTGGCTGGGGTAATATTCGAGACAGATATTCTGGGTCATGGTTGAGCTTATTGTTATAGACAGATATTCTGGGTCTTGGCTGGGTGATATTCTCGAGACAGATATTCTGGGTCATGGTTGAGCTTATTGTTCGAGACAGATATTCTGGGTCTTGGCTGGGGTAATATTCGAGACAGATATTCTGGGTCATGGTTGAGCTTATTGTTATAGACAGATATTCTGGGTCTTAGCTGGGGGTAATATTCGAGACAGATATTCTAGAGTCATGGTTGAGCTTATTGTTATAGACAGATATTCTGGGTCTTGGCTGGGGTGATATTCGAGACAGATATTCTGGGTCATGGTTGAGCTTATTGTTATAGACAGATATTCTGAGTCTTGGCTGGGGTAATATTCGAGACAGATATTCTGGGTCATGGTTGAGCTTATTGTTATAGACAGATATTCTGGGTCTTGGCTGGGGTAATATTCGAGACAGATATTCTGGGTCATGGTTGAGCTTATTGTTATAGACAGATATTCTGGGTCTTGGCTGGGGTAATATTCGAGACAGATATTCTGGGTCATGGTTGAGCTTATTGTTCGAGACAGATATTCTGGGTCTTGGCTGGGGTAATATTAAAACAGATATTCTGGGTCATGGTTGAGCTTATTGTTCGAGACAGATATTCTGGGTCTTGGCTGGGGTAATATTCGAGACAGATATTCTGGGTCATGGTTGAGCTTATTGTTATAGACAGATATTCTGGGTCATGGTTGAGCTTATTGTTATAGACAGATATTCCGGGTCTTGGCTGGGGTAATATTCGAGGCAGATATTCTGCGTCATGGTTGAGCTTATTGTTATAGACATATATTCTGGGTCTTGGCTGGGGTAATATTCGAGACAGATATTCTGGGTCATGGTTGAGCTTATTGTTATAGACAGATATTCTGGGTCTTGGCTTGGGTAAAACTTGTTGGTCCCTGCCTGGCGCTCGGCATTAATGGGTACAACAAGGACTGGTCGGCTCGGAGTCAGTGTAATGTGTCTGAGTGGGGTATTCATGCTTCACTGCGGCACGGTATCTCAGTGGGCTAGCACTATAAAACCAGCACAAGTCTGGGCTAGTACAAGCAGCCGCACATACACATACACACGCATGCACATCGTCATATGAGCGAAATATTCTCAAGCACGACGTTAAACCCAATTTCACCTCACCTCACCTAGTGGTTAAGTGTTCGCTCCTCATGCCGAAGACCCGGGTTCGATTGCCCACATGAGTGCAATGTGTGAAGCCCACTCACTCACTTATGAATATCGCAAGAAGTTGGCGGTATACTGTTCCCCGTTGTTGTTTTTTCTTCCTGGATGGTGGTTTCCTTGTGGCTTTATATTGTTATCCTGTCTCACTCTCACACTTCTACATGCTTCTATGGTTGTTTCCTGCTGCTCGTGTTTATGAGATGTATGTCAGCAGTTCCCCGTCACGTCATGTGCAGGTCAAGGGGCATGACTCAACTAATTGTTCACGGGACAGTGCGGGTTTGGGGAGGTGTAATGGGGTTTAACGTTGCACCTAAGATTATTTTGCTCATATGACAGCATGCATGCGTGTGTATGTGTGACGGCTTGTACAAGTTCAGACTTATGCTGGATTTACAGTGCTAGCTCACTGAGATACCATGCCGCAGTGAAGCATGAATACCATTATACTGACTCCGAGTCGACCAGTCCTTGTTGTACCAGTTAATGCCGAGCACCAGGCAGGGACCAACAAGTACCATATTTTAACGTCTTTTGGTATGACGCGGCCGGGGATCGAACCTTCGACCTTCCGCTCTCCGGGCAGATGCTCTAACCACTTCACCAAGGAGGCTTTCAAACGACCCTTGGCCTGAAAATGTATACCAGAAATATGACTGATTGTGGAGGTCCCTAAACATTGTACCGCCGATACACCAACTGTATAGAGCAATCTGTAAATAACTATTGTATGGATTATTCAAGCCGGTGATTAATATGATGAGCACCGATCTACGCCACCTGGTTCTGACGACAAGTCAGGGAAACTGACCAACCGATCTCGTTGGTCGCCGCTAATGACAAACATCGGCTGCTGAAGGCCAGTTTCTTACGTGCATCCCGACCGTGGTGGAGAGATCGTTGCTTGCAGTCGTGCCCTATGGGGTCGGTTGGGTAGCCTAGTGGTTAAAGCGTTTGTTAGTTACGCTGAAGAGTCGTGTTCGATACCCATGGGTACAATGTGTTAAGCCCATATCTGGTGTATCCCGCCATGTTATTGCTGGAATATTGCTAAAAGCGGCGTAAAACTTAACTCACACACTTACCTGTGGGTTCCCTAAGACTCCACTCCTTGTGAAAACTGTTAATGTGCTAACAGTTAATGTGCTAACAGTGTCTAGAGGTGTCAATAAAATGAAAATTTCAGGTTTCCAGATACTGTGAATCACTTCCAAATTCTTAACTGTTACACAAGAAGGAAAAGGCTGTGTTCACGTGACTGCATGATAAGCGAGACAAATGTTTATCTACAGTACATCCAGAGTCTAAAACTGGTTAGATTCACTTTTAACAATTGATCAAGATTAACTTGACAACAGTAATATCGTTTGTGAAACTTTAGAAAATGAATCAATGACGTCAGCATATGTTGAGCAACAAGAGTGAGTGAGTGGGCATGGCTTTTCGCCGCTTTTAGCAATATTCCAGCAATTTCACGGCGGGAGACAACAGAAATGGGCTTCACACATTCTACCCATGTGGGGAATCGAATCCAGGTCTTCGGAGTGCAAGCTAACGCTTTAACCACTAGGCTACCCTACCGCCCCCTTGAGCAACAAGACTTCACTTTTGTGACAACCAATTACAATTAAACTTTACCTAAAACATCGTTGCCTCAATAATCTTTATGGTTGGATGGCATTTCTTGTAACAAATAATTGTTATATGTGAAGGAGTGTCAGCAATTTTCTTCCGTTGATCCTGTCGAGGTGAATAACACTAACAAAATCAGGTAAGTCATTCTGTGAATTCTCTGTGGAAAGTGGAATTCTTTGTGCTAATCCGACTATATTTAAGTTTGTCTTTATGTGCTGATACTAGGGTTCACGAAAAGGTGAGCGCTGCACGACTATCATAAGCACCGTGTTTTGAATGGCTTTAATTTTTGTTATGATAATAGGTGTTCTATAGCTGACACTGGTCACAAACACAAGCAGAGGCAGGGCAACTGAATGAGTTGGGTATTTCGCCGCCTTTAGGCTTAACAGTATTCCGGCAATATAACCGCGGTTGACATCAGAAATGGGGTTACACATTGTACCCATGTGAGGAATCGAACACACACACACACACACACACACACACACACACACACACACACACACACACACACACACACACACACACACACACACACACACACACACACACACACACACACACACACACACACACACACACACACACACACACACACACACACACACACACACACACTCACCCACAGTTACATAGCTCCAGTGTGTTGCTTCCTGGTAACTCCACTTTACAACAGACACGTAGACACTGCCATGTGCTTCATTGTCACGATGAAATAGATGAGTAGGAACTTGAGATAAGCGAGGCATATATTTCCTCCAGATAGGACTTTATCTTAAGTTGGCTATGTGACCTTTACACAAAGAGAACGTGTTAGACTTGGCCTAGTCTCCTGAGGAATGATTATAAGAAAACATGTTGGTTTGTAGTTTAACGCCCAACACAGCAATATTCCAGCTATATGGCGACGGTCTGTAAATAATCAAATCTGGACCAGACAATCCAGTGATCAACAACCTAAGCTTTGATCTACGCAATTGGATACGATGACACGTGTCAACCAAGTAAGCGAGTCTGACACCCCCAACCCCCCACCCCCTGATCCCGTTAGTCGCCCACTACCACTATTGGTTCCTGAAGACCGATTCTAACCTGGATCTTCACGGGTAAGAGATCATGATTCATGGATACTACAAATGATAAGAACAAACTATCCCAACAAAATAATAACAAACTGTATTGTGCCTATTTAGATTCACCTATTACAAGGATAGAAATACTACACATCCATGGGCTCGACCTTCACAGACTTGAAGCAGGGTTAGGAACATGTTGGTGGATATACACACATCACAGTTAACAGGAGACATAAACAGACATATCCTACT